AAACTTTCTGATTTTTTGAGGAAGATTTTCACTAAAAAGTCAAACACTCCCCCACCTCTGGCAAAAGAAAAAGAAAAAAAGAGAGAGAGAGAGAAAGATTCAAATGATGCAATTTAAAAAAAAAAAAAAAAGGACCAGGCAGACCAAACATTTGCTTTCCATTGTTTTGAAATCTTCATCCATCATATAGGACAGCGCTGCTGCTGCTAAACTAATGTTTATTAAGCACCCTGTGCCTGGCACTGGGCTAAGCATTTCACACGCATCCTCTCAGTCAGTGCTCACATCATCCCCATAGGGTAGGGCTGCTATTATCCCCATTTTACAGATGAGCAAGCAGAACATGTTAACCCAGGCATAGCATTTTCTCTGCAAAGGCCTCTTTTTTAGACACCAATGACGACTCAAGCTCAGAACAACATATAACTGAAAGAGAGATATTTGCTGTTAGTCTTTAGGAAAAATATCAGAAGTAAATGGCTCAAGACGGGACAGAGAATGAAAAACACTCAAACCAAGAACAATGACAACTCAAGAGAGTGAAAAGCTCTCTCTCTCCTGGGCAAAACCTAGGATTCAGCACGTACGTAAGTCTGACGGAGCTTTACTCAGTATATATTCACATTTAAAGGGCTAAGAAACTCAATATACTGCAAGCTACCAGGAAGGCCAATATTAATATTTAGATAACTGTGAATGTTCATTAATCATAAGAACATTTAATTCGCTTTCCAATATACATAATTTTCATTTTCAATATAAGCATGTGCACTTTATATGTTACAGTTTACAATGAATATTGTTATTAGTTTATGCAGCACTTTCTATGTGGCCAGTGCTGTGATGGGTTATATATACCCTTTTTGTCTTAATTGTCACCACCACCTCAGGATATAAGAACTATTATTAACACCCCCTTTGAGAAACAGGGTTGCAGGTGATGACTTTTCCGAAGCTCCCTATTAAAAGGTAACACCAAGATTCAAATCTAGATCTGGCTCAGAGCCCCGTGCTCTTAACCAGTAAGCTCATAATAGTATTTGATTTGTTTATTGTTTGTTAGCCTTGATGAAGCATTAGCTAGAAAACTCTTTTCATTTAAGTTTCACTCCTTTATCTTTACTTCCAGTGCTCCATTTTCATATTATTTTTGCTTCATATTTCTTCCTACTCCCACAAAAAATGTCTAAGAAATTATCTATTCACCAAATCATAAAAGAATCTTCACTAAAGTTTGCTGCATTAGATAACATAGTTGCAGCTCGTACTTTTAATCAATGATGTATAACAATCTCCCTTTTGGTGGCTCTGCTCTGCTACTCAAGCAAGCAGCAAATGATGCCAGTGCCGCCTATCATTGTAAAAATGCAACATGGTTTTTGAAGTCTTTAGCAGTATCATAAAAGCCCACCAGATATCCATCTCCATTCATGAAAGCAGACCATTTCTTCCCAAGGGTTAAAACTCCCTACTTTCTCTGCTGAAACACAAGACATTCAGAACTTTGAAAATGCCTATACTTCTAAATTTTATGTGGGAATTTTTAATTATATGGTACACACACATGTTTTCTGATGTAAAAAGAGAAGTATTAGTATAAGATTCCTGTGTTTGCTTCTGAGTACTCTGGAAAGCACATATAATTGACTTAAATAAATTAACACTATTATCTCACGTGAAGCATGAAATCTAAATTTGGAAGATCGGCATTAAGTAAATTAAAAATGACTTTTATTTATCATTAAAAATGCTCTCCATGCTATTCATTCCACGGCTGACCACACCCATCAAAAACCCAAACTAAACTTGAAAATAAATTCCCATTTATGAAACCATAAAGTAATAAAATTAATAAACTTTATCTAGTTACAACAGAAAATGTCAGATATTTTGCATGCTGTTCCAAAGTAGTTACTAGACCAAAAATTAAAAAATCATGAAAAATATTTCCCTACATTTTCAGCCTAGTGGTTTTTATGTATGTCAACTCTTTTAGGTTTCAGTGACAATCCAAGAATTGTATTTCATTTCTTTGACTGCTACCCTATTGCCCATATTTTAACCTCACTGAATTTTTGGTCCATTGCGTAGAAGAATTTCTCTACTAATAAAAATACAACTCATTAAAGATTAACTTGCCCCCAGGACAGTCTCTCTGGAAATAAATTCCAAGCATTATAATCACCAACTTACAGTCTGAAGACTTAAAGGCAGATAATCTTATTTATTCTGATTTAAATTGGAAACCTGTAATATTTTAAAGCAATTATAAATAGAAGAATAGCAAATCCAAATTCATAATAATCAGAAACCCAACCAGGCAATTACAGACTTCACTTACTTGGAGCCTTCCAATTGAAAAGTTTTCCACCCAAGAATATCTAACAATACTGGGATATTTATTGATTTGTCCGACTTACTTTCTTGGTTTCTACTTTACTTCTGCAATTATGAACTCGAAAAATTCTTTAGTTTCCCAACTATTTATTAAGTATATAGTGTGTGCCACAGATTGTAGTAGGTACTAGAAATCTTTTGAATCCATGATGTAATACTTATTAAAAGAAATTAAAACTAACATTTATTAAGCTATCATTTACCAAACACTGTGACAAGTTTTAGCTTATTAGGCATGATCTCTTTCAATTCTCACAAAATCCTAAGAGAAGCCCCATTTTTCCAAATGGGCAAACTGAAGGCAGAAAGAGACCCAGGAATTTTCCCAAGGTCCTGTAGGGATTTGAGGCCAAGTCTGAGGGATTTCAGTGCTCACACTTGCATTTGGGTCAACAGTGGACTGCATATACCACTGTGGTTCCAAAACACTGTAATGGAGCATGTCATAGCATAATGTAACACATCACTTTTTCTATGTTTAGATACACAAATACTATTATGTTATCATTGCCTACAGTGTTCAGTATAGTAACATGCTGTACAGATTTACAGCCTAAGCCATACGCTATACCATATAGCCTAGGCATGTAATAGGCTATACCAGCTAGGTTTGTGTCCCTAAACCCTATGATGTTCACACAATGATGAAAGAGACCAATGACATGTTTCTCAGAACATATCCCAGTCATTAAGCAATGCATGACTGTATTTGCGTTGTTAAAGAAATGTTAACTCTGCAAAGCAATATTAAATCATCTCATGTCAAAATATCATATCTGCAATAGGAATAGCCTTTAAATTTAAAAAAAAAAAAACCACTCACTCATACATCATTTTATTCAAAATGAAAATGAATTAATTCAAAAAAGAAATCAACTTCTAAAGCTCAGGTTATACACGTGAATGTCCCAGAAGCTAATATCACTGTTGTTACTTGTCTGTGCACAGGTAAAACAGGTAAAGGATGATGTGGTATTTATTATTAGAAGATTGATCTTTCATATCACTCCATCCAAACTCACGTAGAAAACAAACTGGAAACTTGTTGAAAAGGATGAGTATGTGTTCTTATCAGTTCAAACAATTTCACCATGTTTTCCTGACATAAATTTAATATTTTGTTTTATAATCAGAAACTGAGTGAAAAGAACCACGGAACAGATGAAATACTAAAATGAGTTGCTGAAATGCAACCAGGGCTTGAATTTCCAAATCCACTTTGTCATATTCTTATTTGAACAGTTTATCACAAAAGTCATTCTCCTCAAAAGTTACATAATTTAAAGGAAAAAGGGAAGGAGAGAGGGAGCAGAGACATGACACACATTAGGGATGTTTATCAATAAAGGCAAGCAACAAGGGAGACGAGTTTGTAGTACATCCAAAAACGCCTGCCAAACACTCCTGCTATTTGTTTCCACCAAGTTATTGTTTTGGAAAACATGTTGTTCTCTCTTAAAATAACCTGCTTAATTGTTCTAAAAAGCCACTGCATTTCCACGGAGAACTAAATCGCTCCCATACCGCGATGTATTCACTGATAAAGTCAAAGTAAGTTACGCATAAGGGCACAAAGGAAAGTTAGAAAAGCTCCAGCCCTCCTGTGATAAAAGGACACTAGCTACTGGATGAATCTTCCCCAGCGCCCTCGGTGAGGCTCATGTCTGGTCCTCTACCTGTATCTAAAGAATTAGAGTCAAACAACCTCATTTCTCTCTTCGGGTGTGGGAAATCAGCCCCACTGGTGGCTACAGGTAGGCTAGTTATCAACATTTTTAAGAAAGGTCAAAATGACCTTGGGATGGTGTTGCATTCACTCCAATCCTCATCATGTTATAAATCTGAATTCGTTTCGTCCAGTGTGGTTAAAGCTTTTCGGCCTGGGAAGGTCCCGGAGAAATTAAGGAGTTAAAAAAAAAAAAAAAATCCCAAATTGTGAAACACAAAGTCAGACACCCATAGCCCAGGAGGATTTTTTATGGACTGAATGTAACTCAAGATGTGTTTTATAAGCCTGTCAGGGAAGGAACACACACTGTCCTCAAACACAGCAGCACTGCCCCGACACAGTCCCCACGCCTGGGCTGCGGACCCCGGCCCGGCCCCTCCGGCCACAGGGTGTGGGGCGGGGGCAGGAGCCCGCGTCTCAAATCTTGACATCTGCAGAGCGTTTCCCAATCGCCGGGCCAGGCCCCTCAGCTGGAGGAAGTGGAAACTGACAAGCGGAGAGTGAAACAGACAGAGAAACAGGGCTAGAACCCGGGGCTGCCAGGCGTGGGGAGAGAGTCACGCACGCCGCGTGCAATCCGAGAGGGTCCGTGCGGCACAGCCCAGGTGTCCTGGCTAAAGTTGGCATCTCCAAAGCCTGGGACGTAACTCGCGCGCGCCAGCGCAAACTTGGCCTTCGGCTTTTCTGCAGACGGTCAAGTTAGCACAGGGCCCCCGGTGCCTAAAGACGCGAGAGGCGTGGAAGGGGAGGGCAGTCCCGCGAGCGAGGTCTCCATTCCCCGGGTGTCCTCGGCGCCACAGGGGAGGGGGCCGGGGACGTCCGGAAGGAGTTGGAGGCTGAGTCGGGGCGTCCGAGAACGCGGGGGGATGCCTACCTTGTAACATGGCCTCAAGTTTCTTCCTGTCCACGCGGAAGCGCTCCTCGCTCCACTCGGGGCTGTGCAGGGACGCCCCGGCGACCAGGTCGTCCTCGGAGCCGGGCACGGGCGAGTCGGTGCTGCGCTCGCTGTTGGAGCCGGGGTCCGACTGCGCCGCCAGGTAGCCGGGCTCGCCCTGGGCGGCCATGGTGGGCGCGCAGCGCCCGGGCTCCGGCTGCCGCCGCCGCTCTGCCTTCGCCGCCGACTCCGCTCGCCGGCCGGGCTCGACTGGCTCCCCGCGCCGCGGCGCTAGCTCGTCCCCCCGCAGCCGCCGACGCCAGCGCCAACGCCGCCGCCACGGAGCCCCCGGCGCATCCCAGCCCCGGGCGCCGCCCACGCCGCCGCCGCCGGGTCGGCCCGGGTCCTGGGCCAGTGGCTGCGCCGCCCCCCGCCAGCGACGCGCGCGGAGTGAGCGCGCCGCGCCGCCCGCGCCTCCATCCGCAGGGCCCGGCGCCCTCCCCGCGCGCCGCCCCTGCAGCCGCGCGCTCATTGGCCCGGCCGGCCCACGGGGAGCCGCGGCGGGCGGGCGGGCGGCCCCTGGCGCTCACACACTCGCGCGCGCACACTCTCCCACTTTCTGCACTTGCACGTACAGATCCCGTCCGCACATGCACTTCCCTAGCGCTCCAAACACACACTCCTGCACGCACACCAAGTGCACACACAATTCCTCATACACACACACTCGTGCAAACTCACACACTCGTGCATACTCCGCTTTCCCGCACTCAGACACTTAAAATCCCGTCCCCCTACCCACTCTCATAATCCTCCTCCAAACACAGCCACATGCCAAGTTCAAGCGCAGCCTACTCCCGAACGCACACGAAGTGCACACACAATTCCGCTTCTATTTACGTGCACGCTACATCCTAAAACTCACAGCCCCAGTCACTCCTACAGGTTTGAACGCGAAACGAGAGAAAAGGGAAGGCTTGGGGAGGAAATAATGGGCGTCGCAGACATCACCGTGGACTTGGCCTGCATGTAGTTTATTCCTCCACTAAAAGGTTCAAACCCAGACCCCTCCTCTCATCCCAGCAAAGTGGCCAGCTGCACAGGAGATGGGCAAGAGGCTTACTCTTTTTATTCTGAGAGAAGGAGATGTTTTCCTTGAATGGAGTGAGGAAGGAATCATTTTCTCTGGGATTCTCAAGGCATGGACTCAACGGGTTTTTTTAAAAAAGAAGCTGGAAGATTGCAGTGGTGGTTAGCCGGATCCAGCTGGCATGTGGGCAGGGCTCTCTTGTCAGGGACTGAGGGCTCTTCTCTGTTCCCAAGGTCAGTCTGTCACAGATGACGGCCAGTAACCTTTGAGCCTAACCGCCCAGGGCCAGCCCACCCGTTGCCTCTGTCAACTTGGATATGAAGCACCAGAGACTCTGTCGTACGGGGTGTGCCATGAGAACACGATTTTCCCGGCTCACACGGATTCATAACCTCTTCTGTTTTATGACCAAAAGCACAAAGATTTTTTTTTTTTTTTTACCTCAGAGGGAGGGACAGTTTGTCACTGATCCACAGAGGGAGGCTTCCTGGCTTACATGTGAAACAAACCATGTCATTGGCACCGGCCTGTGGATAATCATGGAATGTGTTTAAGGTAAATTGAAATCCGTATAGGTGAGCTGCCTAGGTAACAGGAATTGCCTCTGTGCTGGGTACTGTGGTGCCATTTACAGATGAGGAAACTGAGACTGTGGGAAGTCAAGTGATGTGACTAAGGTCACACAGCAGCAGATAATAGAGCCAGGAATCAGACCCCAGCTCAGTTTATCTGATACAGAATCTCCAACAAAATCCTGCCTTGTTGAGCAGAGAACCCTCCTGCTCAGAGTCTCCTCCGGAAGACCTGCCAGCATCTGCACAGCTTAACTTCTCAGAGCACTGCCACGTGTTCCTTCTCGGAACTTGTTGATTACTGTTGTAATTACTGAGCAAGGCACTGGTTTCAGGGATGTTTACCACTTTTTCTGTCAACAGGTATTTATTGGGACCCTACTATGTGCCGGGCACTGTGTTAGGTCTAGGAAATAGTGAACAGAGACACACAATCGCTGTGCTCCTGGAGCTGACATGCTAGTGAGAAAGACAGAATATTGCCCAAAAAATAAATGTCACTCAGATAAATATAAAACTGTGCCTACATTAAGCATTACAAATAAGAGATTCAAGAGATGAGAAAACCTATAACAGAGTAATTGGATTCAGTCAGAGAGGTCAGTGGAGGCTTCTCAAAAAAAGTGACTCTGTAGCTCAGACCAGAAGTTTGAGACGAAATCAACAAGACAAGAAAAGGGAGGGGAGAACCATCCCTGCAAGTGATTATTTGATCATAACATCCCTAAAGGTATTAAGAGATATTACAACTGTCGTCCTTTTGTTGTTGAGGAAACTGAGGCACAGGAAGTAAAATGACTTTGCATAACGTTTCATAACTAAGCAAGTTGTAGAATTTGAACCCAGGCAGTCTCTTCTTGAAAATTAGTCTTAAGGTGCTTTACATTTAGCCAGTAAACTATATTGACTCTCTGCAAGATTAGCACAAGCAAAGACCCTATAGCAGGAGGCGGCAACATGAATTCCTCCGTTGGAGGAACTAAAAGGCCAGCATAACTGGTACTAAGAAAAATAAAATAAAAACCAAGAAATTAGAGAGTGCTAACTGAGACAGGAGATGTACGTAAGAGGAGCATGTAAGCACTTCAGGCCAAATTAAGGAGTATTTATCTTTAGAGCTCAAGGAAGTCATTAAGTAAAGGATGATGTACTTAGACTTGCATTTTTAAAAGATGCCTGTGGCTATAGAGTAGAGAACAAATTGAGGGACAAGATTGGAAATAGTTGGACCAATTAAGAGACTGTGGAGGAAGTTTAGATAATAGATGCTGATAGCTTACCTATGAAGTGAAGATGGGGAGACATGAGAAGATTTGAGAAATATTTCAATGATAAGTGTCACTAGATCAGTGATGGATTGGATATGGAGTGACAGGAAGGGAAATGTCAGGAATTTCTATAGGAGTATGGCTAACATAATTGAAGAGAGATAGGTGTCATAAACTGAAAGAGGGAGCAATAGAAGAGAATTACATTGGAGGAAAGATCGTGAAGTTGAATTGGGTATGTTGAGTATAAGGTGTGATTGAGATCTCCAAGAAGAGATGTCCGGTGAGCAATTGGATATATGGGTATGGAGTTCAGTAAAGAAATCCTGGCTAGAGATAAAGGTGTGTTATTTGTTTATAGGTGATAATTCTTGCAATAGATATGGCTAGGACTGTCTAGGGAAAGGGAAGAGAATTAGAAGAAAAAAGAACCAAGGAAAGGGCCTGTTAAAAATTCTAGCATTTAGTAGTCAAGCAGAAGACAGCATAATGTAAACAGAGACAGCAGCAGCAGTGAGAGAAGGATGAAAAAAAAAATTGTGTCTTGTAAGCCTAGGAAAAATGGGGTTTTGAAAAATTTTACCAAAAAAAAATGTGATCATATTTGTACAATAAGGGAAGTCAGCATTGTTTTTTATAAAGGTCACTGGGACCTTAGCAAGAAAGCCATAATGGAGTGGTTGAGGAGTAAATATGGCTGATGAAATGAGAAGTGGAAAAAACTCTTTGGAGAAGGGTAGGAAGAAGTAATAGTTAAGGATAATGTTGGTAGAGGGAGGGCTGTTTGTTGCTTATTGGTGATTTTGGTTAATTGGTAGGTTGGATGATGGATTTAATGGTTTTTGAGGTTTGAGAATGTTTTGAAATGACTGGAAACACTCCAGTTGACAGAAATTGAGTATTCAAAAAAGAAGAAGAATTGATTATTAGCTGCCTTTGAGAGTAGGAACAGAATAGATTCCACAATGCAAGTAGAGGAGGAACAGCTCATCAGAAGGTAAAAAAGATGGGTACAAATATAGGTCAGTTTGTAGGTTTCATTTCTAGAGCACAAAGGAATTCCCATCAGATGACTTTTATTTTCCCAAAAGAGTACAAATCAAGGTTATCTACTAAGAGTATGGGGGAAGGAGAGCTGTGAGAGGTTTCAGGGAAGTCGAGACGGGTGTTTTTATTTGGTGCTTTGGTTTTGGAAAGGTTTTAAAATATCCTTTTGCATTTGTAAAAGGGTGAATTGGCACGGTTGAAAGTCCAGTTGATGTTTATAATCATAAGTTTATAAAAGGATCAGCCTGCTTATCCTGTGACTTTCTCCAACAGTACTCAGCTTCTTGGGTCCAGGCACCAAGAAAACATAGGAATCCCACCAAAGGGTGAAGCACCAGGAGCCAGAAGGCAATGGAACAATACCTGATGGGAAATAATTTCTAATGTAGAGTTTTATACCCAGTGAAACTATCAACAAAACATGGTGCTGAAATGCGTTCTTAGGTATGAGGGATCTCCAAATAAAAAATTATTTTCTTCATACCCTGTCTGAGGCAGCTACTGGAGATTGCATGCCATCAAAACAAGAGATTAAATTAAGATGAAGAGAGAATATAGATATGGAAAACAAGTGATCTCGTATGTGGTAGAGGTATAAAGTTTCCTCAGGTTGCTAGTGAAAGAAGAACTCAAATTAGAGTAGGTCAGAAATCTCAGGGTTGAATTACTTCTATCTTAAATAGATAGAATTCTTGAAGTGTATGAACATATTCCAAGGAGACTGAGTTGCTAAAGACTTTAGGGTTTTAATAGAAAACTATAGTACCAAAATATAAGACAATTATTAACTCCAAGTATAACAAAACTTGAAAATTCAAAGTAAACAAAGTGTGCAACATCACTGAGCTATAACTAGCATTTACCCAGTTGCAATAATGTAAACCATGAATATTGACCTCACCTAAATTATAGCTAGGTTAGGAATTTGGAGGATTGGGAAGTATGCATGTGTGTAGTAGGAGCTTTGTGTGGGGAGAGACAGTGGTGAAAAAATGAAACCTCTTCTGCTCCAAGGAAACATCAATAGATAATGGCTAAAACTTCTAAAAATTAAGAAGTAGCAATATAAGCATATTATTTGGACATGTAGAAGTAAAAATAAAATCAAATTAAAAGCTTTAGAAGTGGTTACCTGTAGGAAATGGGAAATGGGGGAAGCCATATGGTGCTTCTGGTTTTTGTACAAGTCTTCTAGAACAATTTGATGGGTGCATGACTT